GTGCTGCTTTTCATGCTATCAACCATGACATTCTTCCCAATTGCCTGGGACCAATTGCTGGAGTCTCAGGCTAGGTCTACACTACAGCGGGGGGTCGACCTAAGATACGCAACTTCAGCTACGTGAATACCGTAGCTGAAGTTGCGTATTTTAGGTCGACTTACCTGGCTGTGAGGACGGGGGAAAGTTGACCGCTGCCGCGCTGCCGTCGACTCCGCTGCCGCCTCTTGCCGCGGTGGATTTCCGGAGTCGACGGCAGAGCGATCAGGGATCGATTTTATCGCGTCTTCACTAGACGCGATAAGTCGATCCCAGAACATCGATTGCCTGCCGCCAGACCCTCCGGTAAGTGTAGATGTACCCTCAGAGAACTGGCCTTCTTGGTTTTGCTCCCATCTATCAGAGTCCTCTTTTTTTGCAGTGTGCAGCAGATAGGCTGGTCCAGTGGATAGGGAGCTAGCCCTGAGAGACCTGTATCCCTCCACCCCCTGCTCCCCGGGACTTCCTGTATGACCTTGGCCAGTCCCTTAGGGACAGAGTTTCAAAGCATTTTAGGCACCCAAAGATGCAGCTAGGCATCTAGTGGGGTTTACAAAGAACCTAACCTTCTAGGTGCTTTGAAAATCCCAGTAGGTGCCTAAATACCTTTGAAAATCTGGCCTTTAGTCTGTGTGTGCCTCAGTGCCCCATCTGTATAATGGGGATAACAGCACTGCTCTAGGTCACAGAGGGGCTGTGAGGAGAAATAGGTTAGACATTGTGAGGCACTCAGATACTATGGTGATGGGGCCACATAAGTACCACAGACAGAGTGGGAACTTCTCTATGCCACTCCTAGCCCTTCCCTGGGTTTTGGCCCCTTCTTTTCACCCATCCCCCTCACCTTTCCCTCTTTTCTGAATGTAAACTTGGCTCAGAGGCCTTGGCTGTATTTCTTCTGAGTCCTGTGCATTCTCTCTTCAACACACACACACCTGCCCCGCAAAGGAATTCCTGTTTTACAGGCTTATCTAAGGACTTTCATTTCATAAGAGCCTTAATTTAATTACCAGCCCTGTCTTACCTGAATCATGCTACCTCTGTTTGTAAACAAAATACTGACTCCCTGCCCTAGGGGCACAAACTGGGAGCAGCACCTCTCCTCTGCAGATGTCATATTCCACACTCAGGCTGCTCTGTAGCTAAGAGCTTTGCCTGGGGCTAGGATGTAGAGCTCCTGTACAAAACCTTTGGGGGGCCGGAGACCCCCCCCTTGTCTTCCCTAAATGGCGCCCCTGAGTTGAATGCTGCCCTGAAGAACTGGTGGGGCATCTTTTGTCTTAATTTCTCTGAGCTTTCATTCCCCATCTGTAAATTGGGGCTAATAATACCACCTCACCTCACAGAGGTGTTGAGAAAATAAATATTTATGAAGTATTCAGTTACTATAGTGATAAGCAACACAAATAAGCCCATGAGGAAATTAATAATTCTGTATTCAGAGCAGGGTTTGTTTTGAATAGTGTGCAGTAAATAAGTTCTGAGGTCATGCATTGAACAGTGAGGAGAAAACACAATAATGAATAGCTGTTCAGTAAGCACCATTCATCCTGTGCACTGAATGAGGCAGGGGTCTTGTGGAAAAAATGGGATGTGATTATGTAACTAAAGAATGTCTTCTTTCCCAGGTAGTTCTACCCTCCCACTCTGGTCTTCCCATTCAAATCCCAGTCTTCCCTACTCATTGGGGTCCCCTTCCAGTCTCCTGCACAGCCCGTCTCAGTCTTCCACATTGGGCTCCTCTTTGGATCCTCAGTCTTCCTCCCCTTCTTACCACCATACTCAGTCTCTACCCCCACCCCAAGGATCCTTGTCTGTTTCCGCTCCCCCAACAACTCCCACATTCAATCTCCAGGCCCCTCTCCCCCCAACTCGTCCCAATCTATTCTCTCACTGCAACTGCTGTCCCCCCCGGCCCATTCCCCCTGGGTCTGGTTTTTCTCTGCCTGAGTCAGGTTGTCTTCTTCTCCACACAGCCTGGGCACCAGCAGGGGTAACCTTGTTAGTCTGTATCTACAAAAACAACAAGGAGTCTGGTGGCACCTTAAAGACTAACAGATTTATTTGAGCATAAGCTTTTGTGGGTAAAAACCTCACTTCTTCGGATGCATAGAGTGAAAGTTACAGATGCAGGCATTATATACTGACACATGGAGAGCAGGGAGTTACTTCGCAAGTGGAGAACCAGTTTTGACAGGGCCAATTCAATCAGCCCTGGGTTGGTGTTTCTGTGGTGTGGTGTGAAGAATTCCACCTGGACTTCAACAATTTCCACCCCACCATCAACCTCAGCCTGGACCAGTCCACACAAGAGATCCACTTCCTGGACACTACAGTGCAAATAAGTGATGGTCACATAAACACCACCCTATACCGGAAACCTACTGACCGCTATATGTACCTACATGCCTCCAGCTTCCATCCAAGACACATCACACGATCCATTGTCTACAGCCAAGCCCTAAGATAGAACCGAATTTGCTCCAACCCCTCAGACAGAGACAAACACCTACAAGATCTTTATCAAGCATTCGTAAAACTACAATACCCACCTGGGGAAGTGAGGAAACAGATTGACAGAGCAAGACGGGTACCCAGAAATCACCTACTACAGGACAGGCCCAACAAGGACAATAACAGAACACCACTGGCCATCACATACAGCCCCCAACTAAAACCTCTCCAGCGCATTATCCACGATCTACAACCTATCCTGGAAAATGATCCCTCACTCTCACAGACCTTGGGAGGCAGGCCAGTCCTCGCTTACAGACAACCCCCCAACCTGAAGCAAATACTCACCAGCAACTACACACCACACCACAGAAACACCAACCCAGGAACCAATCCCTATAGCAAACCTCGTTGCCTACTCTGTCCCCATATCTACTCTGGCGACACCATCAGAGGACCCAACCACATCAGCCACACCATCAAGGGCTCATTCACCTGCACATCCACTAATGTTATATATGCCATCATGTGCCAGCAATGCCCTCTGCCATGTACATTGGCCAAACTGGACAGTCCCTCCGCAAAAGAATAAATGGACACAAATCGGACATCAGGAAGGGTAACATACATAAGCCAGTAAGTGAACACTTCAATCTCCCTGGTCATTCTATTACAGATTTAAAAGTCACTATCATTGAACAAAAAAACTTCAGAAACAGACTTCAAAGAGAAACAGCAGAACTAAAATTCATTTGCAAATTTAATACCATTAGTCTGGGTTTGAATAGGGACTGGGAGTGGCTGGCTCATTACAGAAGCAGCTTTTCCTCTCCTGGAATTGACACCTCCTTATCTATTATTGGGAGTGGACTACATCCACCCTGATTGAATTGTCCCTGTCCAAACTGGTTCTCCACTTGCGAAGTAACTCCCTGCTCTCCATGTGTCAGTATATAATGCCTGCATCTGTAACTTTCACTCTATGCACAGGGAAGACAGACTCCCTGCTCTCAGTTCCAGAGCCATAGTAGCCCCCAGCACCAGAAGCAATTGCAGTGTAAGTCCTGCTCAGCCCCTGCGGTCCTGGGACTGAGCATTCTCCATGCTGATGGAATCCTCAGAGAATTTAGCTGCCAAACTCTGACAAGTGTCTACTGAGCAGATGTGAACTAAGAGTTTTCAGAGGCTTAGATGCTCATTAATGTGGGCTGTTTTTTATGAGAACGGCAAAAAGCATATCAATGACACAATGGTCACCCCCTGCCAGATTTCAAACCCCTGCTCCAAAGCATGAGGATGCTAAACTTTCTCAGTAAAACAGTTGTAAGAAGTTTTTTAACATGGGCAAAAAAAACATATTTTCCCCTAATCTGTTTTTCAGAAATGGCTGGACCCTTTTTGCTGAAATTCTCCAAAAAAAAAAAAAAAAAAAAATTGAGCCCGAGGCAGACATTTAGCATGGAAAAATTCAGCGCAAATGGTTTAAGTCTGGCCAAGACCCTCAAATCATGGTCTGATAATGGACCAACCTTAAGTGCAGGCAGTGCTACCAGTGCCACCGGTAATATCGTCACATCTTTATTCTGGAATTACTGTTTCTCTGATGTTGATCTCAAATTTACCTCCATAGCTAGAGAGAAACTGTTTGGGTTTGTGATATAAGCCTACAAAGGTTGATGTCTGCCTCCACCCATACTGGCTAAGGGTAAGGTTTTGTCAGAGTTATTTTTAGTAAAAGTCATGGACAGGTCACGGGCAACCAACAAAAATTCACGAAAGCCTGTGGCCTGTCCCTGACTACTACTAAAAATAACCGGTGGGAGGAGGGGCGCTGACTGCTGCGGTGGCTGACAGCTCCAGCCCCTGCCACTGCCACAGGGGCTGAAGTTAAAGAAGTCACAGAGGTTTATTAAAGTCAAGGCATCCGTGACCTTCGTGACTAAATCATATCCTTAACTATCGGATATATACTTCCTGATTTGCAGTTTACTATCCATGAACTTGACCAAGTGTAGGAATACCACAAGATAACCAGTCCAAATCCACATGCCTCGTTACTGACAACTTCCAGCATTTTCTTCATGTGAGGTTCTTACTGATTCACCATCAGATTGAGTTATAATGGGTCTGTTTCTCCTTTCACACCAATGGAAATCAGGAGTAACTGCTTTGAAGTTAATGGCATTGCATAAGGGTAAAAAGGAGTGATATTAGAAATAGGCCCCAAATGTTTAAGTTCTGTATGTCAATCTTTAACTTTGATTTTTTTTTACCTTCCTTTCTTTATTTTCAGGTTACTAACATGATTGGTTGAGACCTATTCAAAAAGTTTCTCACTTTGGAACATTACCATTCAATTTTAATTTTCCCTTTCAGATATGACATATTAAAGTTATTCATTAATGTTATAACATCACTCAATGTAATATTTTCTGCAAATCCAACTTGTATTTAATTTGTTTTATGCTAATAGTTTAATATCTTTTTTCATTTCTACTTTACTTTAGTTTTTCAAATGACTTCAGATGCTCAACCTTTCCTATATGATATTGGAAAAAGAACTGATTATGTGGGCCTTGGACATGAAGAGCAAGTGGAGCACATCAAGGCATATGTTTGCAAACCATCTTCTGTTACGGACAAAGCTGTGATAGTGATTCATGACATATATGGATGGCAATTCCCAGACATTAGATACATAGCTGATCTAGTGGCAGCTGCGGGATACGTGTAAGCATTATTGTTTTACTGATTTCTTCCCAAAGAGATGCACTCAGGTTCACCAGATTCAAATTTCCAAATTGTGTTTTCCATACACAAGGAGAAATCATGTCATTTCAGTCTGAATTACTTATCTAAGAATAAAGGACACATAAAAGTGGTACCTCCCTGACAGATTCCAGTGTAGAATAGGTTTTCTCAGTTCAGGCTGCAACAATTCTCGGAACATAATGGCGGCATAAGCAGAGTTCTGAGAAATGTCAAGTTGCAGTGCACTAACAAAAGGTTGCTGTATTTGAATGTCCAGCAGTGTGGGTGATTTAAAAAACTGAAACTGTTTTAAACTGAAATTTAATTAGAAATACAAACAAGAAATGAATATTCATGTTAGGTTGTGCAACTGCTCTTTAAAACAAAATGTCTTTGAGACTAGACAACATGACAATATTTCTTTTAGCTTTCATTAGCAAAGATGTAACATGAGAGAGAGAGTGTGTGCACAGCGATGAAGATTTCTTTTAAATGCACTGGCCTTTGGATTTGATTTTTAAAGATAAGGTGATATAGCATCAGTTTATTTTTCTACAGAAACACTATATTTTTTTTAGAGAGACAAGGTGGGTGAGGTAATACTTGTTACTGGACCAACTTCTGTTGATGAAAGAGACAAGCTTTCAAGCTTCCACAGAGCTCTTCTTCAGGTCTGGGAAAGGTACTCAGTCTTATTAAATCTTGCTAAGTAATTTTCTGACTACTGGGATAGCATGATGATTAGGAGCTGATACTGACACTAACCATGTGGGTGACCATTATGGGGCAAAATAGGGATGAATGAATATTTAGGTGTCCATAGATTTTCCCTGTTGCTGTTGCCTGGACCTAAAAGTTGACTCAATTTTATTTTTCATACAGAGCTATCTGCCCAGACTTTTTTCTGGGAAAAAAACCTTGGACATCCGCTGATCACTGGGCTGAGTTTCGTGACTGGTTGAAAGATCGCGATCCCACAAAAGTGGATAGGTAAGATGTATATTTATGCTGGAAATTTCAAAGCTTCATGGGCACCTAAACATAAAGATATGGACTTAATTTAGCAATTAAAGAGAATGTATGTGCCTTTAGGTAGCTGCATGGGCTTGCTCTGATGTAGCTAGATCAAAGCTAGCTTGTGTAATAACAGCAGTGAAGCTGCTGCAATAAGGGTGGCTGCAACGGCTGGCCCTGCCTGCCCAGGACTCTGGGTACATATTCAAATAGCCCCCATCCATGTTGGCTTCACTGCTATTTTTATTCAAGCTTGCTTTGATCTACTTATCTATGGTGTTGCAATCACTCCTCCAGATTACAGAGTAGACAAAACCTGTATGGGAGGGAGCATAACAGGAGTTAAAGGTTGAAAAGTTAGGACATCTCTGGGCATACTGGGGGTACGTCTACGCTACCCACCGATCAGGGATCGATTTATCGTGTGTAGTGTAGACATGCCAAATTGATCCCCGATCGCTCTCCTGTCGACTGCTGAACTCCAGCTCGGCGAGAGGCGGAAGCAAAGTCGACGGGGGAGCGGCAGCCGTCGATCCCGCGCCGAGAGGACGCGAAGTAAGTGATTCTAAGTTGATCTAAGATACGTTGACTTCAGCTACGCTATTCTCGTAGCTGAAGTTGCGTATCTTAGATCGATCCCCGCCCCCAGTGTAGACCAGGCCTAAGAGAGGAGAGCTGCTGTACCATGTTCTTCCTTGGGGCCAGATCAGTGCTTCAAGGATGCCTGGGGGGAACTGCAAAAGATGCCTACTAAAGGGGAAAGAGGGTTACTTCAAAACTGTGTGATCACAAAGGGCTTTTTATTTTTCAAAAGTGTAAGGATGTGGAGGAAGGATTACAGAAAGGGAGGGAAAACTAGGAGTGAGGGGAATTGCATGGATTTCATTTATATGTAAAAGTGCCATGAAAGGTGCTTATTTTTTAACTTACCAGTTATCTGACCAATACCCTGGTGGTCTCCTGCTGGCTGGGCACCCAGACATGTGCGAGTGTCTCTTGGAAAGTAGGATGTGAGTCTGGGCTCTCCCACTTTGTGGAGATGGTGGCATAATTACTATAGCCACCCAGGACCAGGGCACACCAAATCTCTAAGGTACTAGTAGGACGCCGGGTGTACCGTGACTGGGGCAAACACTGAAGGGGCTTCAGCTGCTACACCCTGGAGATGTTAGATCTGGTGGGTCCCAATAATCACTCCGATGTTTGGCTAAAGTGAACGGATATTTTACTAGGGCTGGCAAGAAAGGGAAGGATTGCAGATACCCTAGGTACAGTGGCTTAAACAATTACAGCTGAAAGTGAAAGAAAAGCAGTTCCTGTCTGGGCCTCTGGGGGCAGTCCAGTCTTCAGGCCTATTGCCAGGGATGCCCTCTCCAATCCAGTCTCCCTCAGATCAAATAGGGACTGGCAGATTTCCAGGCTAGGATCTGTTAGGGGTGTGTCTCACTGGGACCCCTCTGCACTGGCTCCCTGCCCAGTCTCTGCTGCTCCTCCACAAGTCTTGCACAGACCTGCTCCCAGTGGCAATGTATGTCAGTTGTACCCTGTGCCTCAGTGTCATAAACATACAGCTAAGAGTAGCATAAAATCCCTCTTTACCCTGTAAAGGGTTAATTCCTCTTTTACCTGTAAAGGGTTAAGAAGCTCAGATAACCTGGGTGACACCTGACCAAAAGGACCAATAAGGGGAGAAGATACTTTCAAATCTGTGTGGGAAGGTTTTGGTCTGTGTCTCTCGGAGCCAGCCAAGAAACCAGGCAGGGAAATTACATCTTCTTAAGTATATCTGAACTAAGCATCTAGTCTTGCAGAAATAGTGAGTAATAGCAGAAAAGAAATGCATTAGATTACCTTTTGTTTTAGCTTGTGAATTTTCCCTGTGCTAAGAGGGTGGTTTATCCCTGTTTTTGTAACTTTAAGGTTTTGCCTAGAGGGGAAATCCTCTGTGTTCTTGAGTCTTTTGTTATTCTGTAAAGTACTTACCATCCTGATTTTACAGAGGTGATTCTTTTACCTTTTCTTTAATTAAAATTCTTCTTTTAAGAACCTGATTGATTTTTCATTGTTCTTAAGATCCAAGGGTTTGGGTCTGTGTTCACCTGTACCAATTGGTGAGGATATTATTCTCAAGCCTCCCCAGGAAAGGGGGTGTAGGGGTTTGGGGGGATATTTGGGGAAGGTAGGGCTCCAAGTGGCCCTCCCTAAATGTTTGTTTAAATCACTTGGTGGTGGCAGCGATACTAAGGCTAGAAAGGAATTTGTGCCTTGGGGAAGTTTTTAACCTAAGCTGGTAAAAATAAGCTTAGGGGGTCTTTCATGCGGGTCCCCACATCTGTACCCCAGAGTTCAGAGTGGGGAAGGAACCCTGACACTCAGCTTTTGCTGCAGCCTGCTCCGCACACAGTTCCTGGGGCTTGCCCCCTGCATCCAGAGTCCCTGCTGCTCTTGGCACCATGTCACCACTGCTTCCTCAAAAGTGCCAAGTCTCTTTCTGGGTCAGGGTCTTTCCATACAATTTCTGCCCCTTCCTCCAGCCAGACCTGGGGAAGAGCATGTGCCATGGGAGGGGAGTTGGTGGGAATGGTAGTTTCCTGCTTATCAAATTCAGGATAGTGGGATGGGGGAAAAGGTTGTAGTTCTGTAGCGGGCATGTCTCAGGAGGAGGAGATGCTGAGCCTTGCCTGGCTGTGCTTCCAGATAGTTTATGTGCTACAGAGTTGAGGCCAAATGGAGAGATACAATTCTGTGTTGGGATGAATGCTGTGGGGCTGGAGTTGGAGTTGCCTGGTGGTGCACTGGAGTAATTTCCTCCTTATGCTCAGATCCACTGTAGTAAGTAGTGAAGTAAAGGACTATCAGTTTGGTGTCAAGGCTCATGTATCACTCCTCTATTGGCTCCTGTCTCTTCCTTTGCAATGGCCATGTCCTCTTCAAGGGTAGCTGGAGTTGCTTCTGGAGAGGTCCTGGGTCACAGCAGGGAGCTCTTGTAAGAGGGTTGCTCTGGTCTACATATTTTACACAAGGAAAATGGTGAGGGGAGGCAAATCTTTATTACTGACAGACATACAGACCTCAGCCACCTGCTTGAATGACACTGTTGGCAGGGCAAAGTGTCCGCTGTGCTCTGTTAACCTTGTAAGGGCTGTGGTTTGTGCTTCACTGTGGGATGGACTGTTGTGTTCACACCTGGGAATGCTCTGACTTTCACATGTGGAGCTGCAAATCTTGCCACTTGGTGAGGAGCATTTTTGATAAACACCCCACTTTTGGCTGCAGTGAGTCTCAAGAGTAGCAGTAGGAAAAGATAATGAGAACGTGATCTTGTGAGCAATATAAACATGCTATACCCTGCCCAACATACTGACCTGAAGACAGCTAGTTCATGTGGGTGGTGGATAATCCCCACCTGCTGGATGGATTGTAGCGCCATATTCTCTTCCTGAGAGAGAGTTTGACCTCCCCTTCTCCCCAACCACAGTTCCTTTCTCTGGCTTTGGCACACACACATGCTGTCTTCTTAACCTCTGTGCAGAGTACCAGCCACTTCCCAATGTCCTCCAGACTACTCCTGTGGTGTCCCACAGCTTTCACCCCACCTATCACCTGTATCCATAGGTACTGAGGCCTGCTTTGATCTTTCTCCAAACTCCAGGTGGCAAGGAGGCAAAGTTTTCCATGAATCAGTTCTTCAAGTAGAATGCTCCCATTCTCTGTCAGCTGTTGTCTGCCCATCTCACATGACACTTTCCTTTTCCAGTAGCTGATAATAGGATTTATTCTCTTGCATGGCTCCTAAGCAAAATTTGCAGGATTACCTTAGAACATATTAAAGAGCATGTTTCTTGTGGCAGGGGAATATCAATGCCTGCAGAGGAAATGATCAGCTGAATGCTGATTCAGTGTGTCAATGGGAGGTCTGTCTAACATACATCCCATGTATTTGATGCTTCCTTGACATATCTTCCAATACATTCACTTTACACAGTGTGTACATATACTAGTGAATTAGTATCTTGTCATTGCATGCCAGTGCTTGATTTCTGAGGGGAGCTTTCAGGTCCTTTCTGCAGCTCTTCTCTAAGTACTTTGAGGAAGACATCTATCTACTTCTGATTAAATGTATCACTTTTAAACAGCAAATGAAATGTAGGTACAGTTATCTGTAGTCCATACTGACATTTGCAACAAACCAGCTCCTGAATTCAGGGAGGCACTGTTAGTTCTTCAGTGTCCATCAGGAGAGCCTGAAACTTCAAGAAATAGACAATAAAGCCAGAGTGACACCCATCCAGGGCCGGTGCAACCACTAGGTGAACTAGGCAGTCGCCTAGGGCGCCAAGTGGTTGGGGGCACCAAAAAGCGGAGGCACCGGAGAGCCAGAGCGTCGGCTTGTGGGGGCGGCGAGCCCCAGCCATGGAGGAGCCAGCTCGGCACAGCGGGGTAGCAGCCCTGCAAAGGCTACGACGCCACTAGCAGGGAGCAGCCGTGCCCCCCGCCCCTCCTGCCTATGCGCCCCCCGGCTCTCCCCTCGCCTAGGGTTACCATATTTCAACAATCAAAAAAGAGGACGGGGGAGAGCCGCGCTCTAACCCTGCCCCCATTCACTCCCTCCCACTTCCCACCCCCTGACTGCCCCCCACCCCCTACCTAAGCCTCCCTGTTCCTTGTCCCCTGACTGCCCCCTCCTGAGACCCCCCCCCCAACTGCCCCCCCATGGCTGGGGCTCGCCGCCACCACAAGCGGGACGCTCTGGCTCTCCGGTGCCTCCAGAAGGCGGATCCTCCCTGCCGAGCTGCTGCAGCAGCCCAAGTCCGGCAAAGCCAGTGAGTGGACTCGGGGCGGGGGCCACCGGGGTGGGGTGGTGAGGGGAGGGCTTGTGGGGGGGCTGTGCACCCTCCAGGGGAGTTCAGAGGGCAGGGAGGGGGGAACCTGGTCCGGGGAGCAGCCCCTGGTCACAGCTGGCCCCTGGGGTCTATAAAGTCTCATTGGGATTTGCCCCTCAATGAACCGATGTGCAAGGGGTGCAAGATGGAAGTTTCGCCTAGGGTGCAAAATATCCTTGCACCGGCCCTGATCCATCTACTCTGATGACAGTGACTGATGGGCCACTAAGCACTTCCATAACCTCTTAGGAGTAGCTCAGTGCAGCCGGCCTATCACCTACTTCTGCCAGCACAGCTTCCGACTACACAGATCCCAGAATCTATGTGTATAACAATATTACTGAATTTTCAGAACAGATAGTTGCTGAACATTTACCTTTTAGAATTCTTTCCCAAAACAATGTGCAGATATATAAACTTACCTATCAGTTTAGGCACCGAGTTTTGAAAATCTGGCTTAGTATATGCAAATACATTTAAAACTTAAAAAATGAGTTTTTTAACTGGCTGCTCCGGTGCCCACCCTCCTGGGAGCGTTACTGACACAGAGGTGTCTGCGGAGGCTGATTTGCCGTTCGGCTGGCCTGAAAGGGGCGTTCTGGCTGCTTGTCGCTAGCTGGGAGCAATGGGTCAGCCCCACATCCCCTGAAAAATAATAAAATGAAAATATTTTCAAACTTGTTGAGACTTCTGCAATTAAAAAAAAAGAATTGACCATGGTATACATTAAAAACACTTTCCAAATTTGTTACATTAGCCTTCATATGCAGTACATGTGCCTTTTTGTATAGTAGTTATTGTCAGTTTAATTTTGGAAAAATGTTTAGTTGAATAATTGTTTAACATTCTGTCAAGTGGTCTTGGCTGGAATTATTTTATGCTACATCACAAAGCATGAGGTGGGTCATAATATAGTCATGTAATTTGTTTACCTAAATAACTGTTTCATTTTTACAGAATCAAGCTAAGCCCTTCTGCTCCCACAAGCCATCATGTAAAATTCTGTTTGCGCACATTTGCACTTGCTTGCATGTTTTGTTCTTATTAGTTCCCTTCTGGGTGAAGTAATTCTTAGTCAGTTCTCCTAGAAATGGCACGATAGCTCCCAATTCAGATAATTATTTCAGCCCATGATTAATTTACTCTACTTAAGTTCTACTGAAGCAAATGTTTAACTTTAAGCACATGCTTAATTGCTGTCCAATATAGGGATACTCTTCTGAATTAGGGCCATACTTGCAAACCCATATTTAAGAATAGCAGTACCTAATCTGGGGTTGGAATAATTTTAAATGACAGAAGGAGAAGATGGGGACAATTTTATGTACTTTTGTGTTTTCTTTTTAGATTTTTCAGGTAGTGATTCTACTATAGATTTCTTAGTTCACTTTTGTTTATATGTCTTAGGGAAGCTGATGTTGTCTTGAAGTATCTAAAGGAGCAATGCAGTGCAAAGAAGATCGGTGTCGTTGGGTTTTCCTGGGGTGGAATGGCTGTACATCACTTGATGCTGAAAAATCCTGAATTAAAGACTGGGGTGTCCCTCTATGGTAGTGAAGATTGCATGTAAACTTGAGCAGGCTCACTTGTTTATATGGAGTACATATTTTAGATGTTGCTCTATATAGATTTCTATAACTATTCCATTTACAGGTGAGCTGAAGATTTAAATATAACTATTTATTTCAGCAATATTTGCTATATGTTCCCACTAACTAAAGGGACAGTCAGTATTTTAGATGTTCACAGAACAGAAAATGTCATTTTTCATTTTTCACCGAATGTCCTCACCAGCTCCATAACTGCTTGGAAAATTGCGATCTTTTCCCCCCAAAATCTTTTGTTTTTCATCAGAATAAAATATGTGCTAATCTGTGAAATATACTAAGGCCTTGTCTACACTAACACTGTAAATTGATGTAAATTACACTAATTAAGTATCAGGGGGTAGCCGTGTTAGTCTGTATCTACAAAAACAACAAGGAGTCTGGTGGCACCTTAAAGACTAACAGATTTATTTGGGCATAAGCTTTCGTGGGTAAAAACCTCACTTCTTCGGATGCATGAGGTTTTTACCCACGAAAGCTTATGCCCAAATAAATCTGTTAGTCTTTAAGGTGCCACCAGACTCCTTGTTGTTTTTACACTAATTAAGTTATGTAAGTTACATAACTTAAGTCAATGTAACTTATATTGACTGAAAACGGTGTCTACACTACGCTATGTCGATGGGAGAGTGCTCTCTCGTCGACTTATCACATCTTCACCAGATCCACTAAATCGATACCGCTGCATCAATCACAGTGGTGCTGATTTAGCCCGTAGTGAAGACTAGCCCTAAGAAACAAGTATTTCCTGATTTCCACTTGACTGGCTCTACGCTCCAGCAGGGTACTCTGCTCTCTGTGTTGCCATGGCATAATGCATACTGGGATATCCCAGAGCACAAGCAAATAACTTGGGATATAAGTGGTCTGAAAGAAGAAGAGGTAAGCTGTCCGTTGTTCACGTTCATGTGTTCATGTGCTGAATGCCCAGCTGAGCCTAGTTAGTAGGGACATTTCAGGAAGTTAGACTGGACACTTGGCACAGACAATGGCAGAGAGGACTTCTGCTGCCTGTTCTGAGGGGAGGAGTACATATGCCAACTGTTAAGGAGTTTCACAATGTGGGAGCCATGTTAGTTCCCTGGTACAGCAGCAACCAAGAGTGCTTTCTTTCATCTTGGATTGGCAAGGAAGGTACAGCGTTTCCTTTCGGGTATGGACCTAGCCACATTTATCCATGCCTTAGCCACTTCCAGTTTAGATTGCTGTAAAGTGCTGAATGTCAGTCTTGAGGACCACTCAAATTTCATTGACTGCAGAATGCAACTTCTCTTATCTGCTTTGTGGTGCTTCTTACATATTGGCGCTCCATAGACTGAACTACCCCCAATTGGAAGCCATTGCCAAGAGTTGCTGATTTTTAAAGCCCTATCCATCTTGGATCCTGTCTATCTTACATATCATCTTTCTCCTTATGCTCCATCCCAATTTTTGGGATGAGTAGGGGGCTGTTTACTCTAAAGTTTGCTGCCCTCACTGGTCCCAATAACCCACCTTTGTTGACATTCAGGATATCTTGCCAGGCCCATGTACTTGAATATGCAATCTTTCACTTGCTGGGTTGGCTTGAGGAAAGCTGAGCCTCTTGAGGTTCTCCAAGTGGTTTTTTACGCTATATTTTACCCTGTGTGATTTTAAAGCTGATCTATGTGTGCATATAGCATTTGTGACAGAACATTTTTATAATGAAAAATAAATATTGCTGAAGCAAATAGAAATTTTGTATTTAAATTCACAGCTCACCTTGAAAGATGTGTCACATGATTTAAATACTCTCTCAAAATGTGTTATAGGAATAATCAGGGACTCTGATGACAGATATAATTTGCTGAACCCGACGTTTTTTATTTTTGGGGAAAAAGATCACACCATTTCGTATGACCAAGTAAGTGCCTCAAAACAGATTTCTCTTTTCCTGACACGCTTATATCTTATAAGGCAGAATTCTGGCTACTGGGTATCTGTGTAGGCCTTCCAGGAAACCCATGGGGAAGTAGGAGAGCAGAGCAGTAGGATTTTTCTGCCTGTATTTTAACTTCTCCTAGAGCTTACAGAGAAGCCACTGTATAGCTTCTCTTTCAGGGGGACTGAACAGAAACATGGTGGGGCCAAGAGTCAGCCTCTTTGTATCACAGCAAGCAAGGGCTGAACATGTACAAAGAGACTCGAGTGGGTACAAACCATACACTTTAATCACTTGGATATTTGTGCTGCCTCTTAGCGGGCACAGGGTTAAGCCACTGAATTTAGACTCTGGAGATAGAGGTTCCGTTCTCAGCCAGAACTCTCTGAGTTACTGTGAGCAGGTCACCTGGTCAGTCAGGGTATACTGGGAAAATGCACTAGGTTAGAAAAGTGGTAATGAATATATTTTACTTAACTGGGGGGAGGAATAGCTCAGTGGTTTGAGCATTGGCCTACTAAACCCAGGGTTATGAGTTCAATCCTTGAGGGGGCACTTAGGGATCTGGGGCAAAATCAGTACTTGGTCCTGCTAGTGAAGGCAGGGGGCTGGACTCAATGACTTTTGAGGGTCCCTTCCAGTTCTATGAGATCGGTATATGTCCATATATTTAACATACCTGTAAACCTTAGGCCTTGGCTAGATGAGGAAATATAGTGTTTTTTTAAAAAAGGAATGATGTAAGATTAGCTATAATTAACAATACCTAGCTCTTACATAGTAGCTCTCAAAGGAGGTCAGTATCCTTATCTTCACATCATAGATGAGGAAACTGAGGCACAGGGAAGGAAGTGGCTTGCTCAAGGACAGGGGCAGAGCTAGGAATAGAACCCAGCTCTCCTAAGGCCCACTCCAGTATGCTATCTAGTAGGCCGCAGTGGCTAATTAGTACGTTTCCTAATATAATGCATTTTCCCAGTGTAGACATGAGTGACCATGCCTTGGTTCCCTCTGTAAAATGAGGATAATACTTCCCTGCCTAACAAAGGTGCTGTGAGGGTAAATTCACTAATGCTTGGTAGGCACTAAAATACTATAATGACAAGGGCCACATAAGTACATAAATAGGAGTCAAGAGCCTGCTCTGCACATAAATTCCCTGTCTGTGCAGTGACAGTGATGGCACATCACCACAACACCATAGTTTATGCTGTAGGAATAATCCATAAGTGGGAGAGGACTGGCAGCAGGGCATTCTGAAGCCCCAATTCAGGAGTCCATCCCTATTCAGGAAAGCATTTAAACACACGCTTCAGTGCTTTCTCGAATCAGGGCTTCAGAAAGGATTCCCTGGCTCTGAAACTTGCTTCTCACCTTGATTTGCAAGCGCCTGGATTTGGGTATCGATCCTGACACTCTGCAAGTCTCAACTGTTTCCCCAGGTTTTTCCTGGGGAGCGGGAGTACTGGACTGAGGATGAGTTGGAGAGAGCAAGATGGAGACCTTTGCGAACAATGTATAGGAGACCTATTCTTCTCAGATGTACTTGACATCTTTTCATAAGAATGTTCTTTAATCCATCTAATGTGCCTACAGCATGGAATAGATGCATCAGGAAAATCTAAATTCCATACAAAAACTGCATTAAGAGAATCTTGAGGTGTAAAATGAAACACTTACACGACAGGAAATGCCAAAATTAAGGTTGGATGAACAACTTTGTGCCCTTATCCATATGCATTAAGGCACAGGATGAAATCCATTCAAGTGTTGGTAATAACCTCAGTGGGGCCAGGATTTCACCCACATTGTTTAATTACATGATCATTATATTATTGTTGTTTAGTAGAACTCCTGCCTTATTCGCTGGGTAGTATGGATAGTGCTCAGTGAAGGAAGAAGCTGATCTATATTTATTTTTATTTGTATTATTTAAACGTGTGGATCCATGCCTCAGATATGGCTGTCCCTGCACTGACTGAACAAAACCTTCATTCACTACGTACTGTCCAATTTTTAAGGTGAAGGACACAGTACTCTTCCCTAGCTTCATTCACTTCACAATGGTATCTCACCCACCCTGCAAACTGAATAAAGCTTGGGCCCTTAGGCCTGGTCTACACTGGGGAGGGGGGGAGGAAGATCGATCTAAGTTACGCAACTTCAGCTACGTGAATAACATAGCTTAAGTTGATGTACTTAGATTGACTTACAGTGGTGTTTTCACTACGGTGAGTCAACTGCTGCTGCTCCCCCGTCAACTCTGCCTGCGCCTCTCACTGAACTGGAGTGCAGAAGTCGAAGGGAGAGTGCCCGTGGATCGATTTATCGCGTCTAGACTAGATGCTGCCCGCCGATCCGGCCGGTAGTGAAGACATATCCTTAGTATGTGATTACATACAGACTGCATTGTAGTGCATACACACAAGAGGGAACAATTAAGGTTGCACAGGACATATTACCTTTAATTTTTCTTCTAAGTGCTTTTATTTTTCAAGGTTTATTTAATGTAGTTTTTTAAATAGAAATTCCTAGGTTCTTAAAAAAAAGAAAACAAAAAATCCCCTAAAAGCTTCCATCATCTGTAATGTGCTGCACGACAGTGGAACTTTCTGTCCTGCACTGTATGTGCTCTGGTGAGGCACCAAACCTAGGCTTCATTCCATACACTTCCCTATTTACATCTGAAAAAAATACATGAAAAGAATGTTCTGACTGCAAAGTAAAGGAAATTTTACAGTTGCTCATGCGACCTTAATTCAGACCCTTTGTGCACAGGAATTATGATACATTCTTTAATTACACAAACACATTATTTTGAGACCCTCCTTTCTCTTCCTTCCAACTAACAGACCTTCCAAATTCTTCAACAAAGGAGACAACTGCCTCATTTGCTACCCAACCCTGATTCAGCCCCAGAGCACAGTTCATTCTGTTTACTGAATGAGGCAGGGATCCTGTGGGAAAAATAGTATGTGATAATGTAGTTAGAGACTGTATCATAATGCATATGCACAAAGAGGCTGAATTAAGATAGCAAAGGGGACCTTAATTTTCTAATTTCTGAGTGGTTGGCTTTGCAACCTTAACGTTCTTTTAACATAGGATTGCGTTTTTTAATGTAATATATATAGTACAAAAGGAAGCAGGACCTCTTTACAATCCTGCCTGCTTACATACTCACCTTCATAGATAATACTGCACAGGCATCTGCACAGGTCTACACATTAAAAATGAAATTCCCCTTCACATCTGGCCCATGCACGTGCAACTGTAGGTACATCCACACTTCCAGCTCAAGGAGACATACCCATGTTACCTCTGATCGAGCTAGTGCACTAAAAATAGAATGTAGCTATGATTGCATGAGCAGCGGGAGGGTCTTAGATAGGATTGTACTCAAGGCAGCTAGCCCCTCCCTTTTGACAGGGGTTTGTCAAGCTGCACCATTTCTGGCCTACTCTGTGATATTTCCAGCAAGCCAGACTGCCTAAACAGGACAGAGTCTGCACTTTGTTTTCTCTTTGAATGCTAAGAACAATGGAATTGCCAGCAATTATGAGTTACCACATCTTTTTTCTAATCAAGCACATTTATTCTTATGGTGAAAGCATTATAGAGCAAACATAGTAAAAATAATAAAAGTATCTACATACTGCTAAAAAGCTTACCAGAGATCACCTCAACTCCAGCCTCTGGCTCTGGTAGGTATCAGTCCTTCAAACTCACAACTGGGTTTTCCCCATGGTTACAAGTTCATAACTGTCTCAGATTCAGAGCCAGAACAACCATGAATAGTTCAGTCTTTCCTTTATACAATGTGGGCTTGTGATACTGGCCTCACATAACAGGTGATCCACAGACAAAGGCCTGCTCCTCTGGGTATAACTTCAAAGGCTAGATTTTTGCATAACCAGAGGTGCAGAATTTGCATTCACCTTGCCTGAGATATTTCCCAGGAAATCCACTTCCCATGTATTGTCCCAAAAGCTCATTCTTATCTGGCACATTGTTCAGTAGAGTCCTTTGATCAATCAGGCCTTATATCAGATCTCCCTCTACAGAGGTTACATACAATCCTGGCCCACAATAATAGATAAACTTTGTATTTGGTACAATGAACCCCAAGGATACTAAGACTTAATTCACTAAGGTTTTTTAAGGATATGGGAGGAAATTGCCATATCTCTCAGATTTCAGAGGGATAGCCATGTTAGTCTGTTTCAGCAAAAACAACGAGGAGTCTTGTGGCACCTTAAAGACTCTCAGAGTCATATTTCAAATATAAGTTTTCTTCTTTATTAGTAAAGAGCCTGTAAAAAGAGCTTGGGTAATAAAATCTGGCCTGAGTGTTAGATAAGTAAAGAAGATACTGATCACATCTTCCAGAAAGCCAAACAATGGACAAACTGAGAGTTGACAAGTTAAACAAAAATTAAAAACAACACAATAATGGAAGGATGCTCTGTGTTGCAGATCATCTTACTGGAGAAGAAACTGAAACAGTACTGTCAAGTTGAATATAGAATTAAAGTTTATCCTGGACAAGTTCATGGCTTTGCAGAGTTAAAGCCAGAAGATATGAAACCTCGAGATAAACCTTACATTGAAGAAGCAAGAAAGGATATGATGAACTGGCTGAAAACATATGTTTAACAGAAATATAAAGTCTAGTCTGTAAAACAATCTAAAGTAATATATTTGGGGGATTTAAAAGTAGTAGTTGATTGAATTATATTTTACAGAAAATATAAAGGTCCTATTCCTATAACTTTGAAAAAGAAAATCTGTACTGTTTGTGGAGAATTTACAATAATTTAAAATAGTAACTTTTTCATTTGTAGTTCTTAATGTTTATAATCTGATTTCATACTGAATCATTGTTGAATGAAGAAATCATTAAGCATTAAAAACTTGTTCAAATTCAGCCTATCTTAATATAGTTATAATCTGCTGGAAAAAGTTCTCCATTTTGTATGGGGCATATTCTTTTCATGATCATATTTTAATTACAATTAATATGAATGGAAATTGGTCATGCATTGAGAGTGTGGACTCCTTTGACCTATAATATCATGACAAAAGTGACCATACATCCTAAATTCACCAGTACAGCCATGTTTTTTCTATATGATATCCCAGGAAGTTTTTTTGGGACACCTGCAATGTCCCGCTTTTTCTTTTAATAAGTAAAAACATTTTTTACTAACAACTACAAAACATTTATACAAGACATATTGCTGTACTTAGTAGAATTTGCTGTTTGTGTAGTAGGAAGGAGCAGTCTAGCTGAGTATGGTGAACAGAGAGCAACTGATGTGAAGAGACAAATCAAATGACTGCAGACACTGTCAAAAGGTGTTGTTCTGCAAACATGAATGACACCAATCGAGTGTTCATTATAAACTCATTCAGAACACTAAGCCACTGGAAAAAAATTCTTCCACTCTAAGAAATATGTTCATGTCATGGCTGAGTCAGAAGCTAGCACTAGTGCACTTTTTTTTTAATAATAATTTAATAATTCTGTATTTTGCATGCTTAAAAATGACACCTCAAAAGTGCCTCAGTATTTGATTTTGACAATAAGGTCTCCTTAATCATTTAGATATATCAGATGTCATGTTAGCTTCATTGTTTGTTTCATGTACTGTAAAGCTCTTGCTGCCAAAGGAAAGCATGAAAACTTCCACCATTTCCTCCTTTAAGCTGTTAAAATACTGAATTGCCTTAAAGACTTAAAGAACCGCCTTAAAGACTGCCAATACTTCTTTGCTTTTTGTATCACTTTACGATAACATTTCTTCAGAAGCCAGTCCTGGGTTTACAATGGTGCCAGGCACCGCAGAAAGGGCCCTACCCCCACTCCACCTCTTCCCCTGAGACCCTGCCCCCACTTTGCCTCTTTCCCCCGAGGCCCCACCCTCACTCCACCTCTCCCCAGCCCCGCTCCGCCTCTTCCCCCAAGGGCCTGCCCACCGCTCGCTCCTCTCCACCCCCTCCCAACCCTGTTGCTTGCATTTAAGGCAGGGAAAAAGTGCCCTCCCATGGCCACCCCATTCCAGTGCCCCTGTTGCCAGGTGTCTGTTTTTTTACTGGAAAGTCCAGTCGATAGTCCAGTTACAGGAGTAACCGCAGCCTCCCCACCAGGAGGGTGGGAAGAGCAGCTGCTGTTGCCTGGAGGAGCTGCAGCTCAGTTGGACAGAGAGAGAATTCACTCCCAAGGACCCTGCTTTGGCAGATAGAGGTAGGTACTAGCTTCATGCTGCCCTGGGGGATCCTATCTGTCCCCTGCCACCCCGCAGTACTTGCCCGACTCCTACCTTGCTCTGGCAGGGCACTGACACCCCCTCGCCCGCCCCACTCTTCTTGCCCCTTGCCCCTTTCTCACTCCAGGGACCAAGCCAGGCAGCCCCCTGCCAGCCCAGCCCTGGGATCCCACAGCTCTGCTGGTGCCCCTCACTCCCGACCCACAGCCCCGATAGCCAGGCCCTGGGCTCCCACACAGCTCGACTGGTGCCCCTCACTCCTGACCCACAGCCCAGCCCTGGGCTCCCCCTGCCCTGAAATTAAGGAATAGTGATAGATGAAGGCAAAAAAAAAAAAACCCAAAAAAAAACCCAAACCCCCCCCAACCCACCTTTTACAGCACAGTGAGAAGAGCCTCAGACTTTTCTACTGTTGTTACTGGAAGTTGTGCATTTTATCCTCTGTGCAGATATTGAAATCTCAAGGTTTTTAACTCGAATCCAGCTCTGGTATATATACAATATATAGTTTTGTTTTATAATTATGTAGAGTTTGTTACCATGTCCAGAAGTCTTTGATTTTAGGATTCCAAAGAAATTAAACACTACTCTTATTGATCAGATTAAGATATTATTTAGTAATAAATGTAATTAAGGTCTGGCTTTAGAAAGTACTATGCATTGAGTGGTCAAAGATTGCATGGGGTTATGAAGGAACAAACTAGCTCATTTATGGGGAAAAGTTTCTGCATATTTATGCCTGCATTTCTTGGAAGTGGATAGTTGGTCCATGTGATTAAGTTTTCTTGTTCGTCAGAAAGAAAGTATATGGATATATAAAGGCAAAGCATACAATGGCTTCATTCACTTTGCTTAAACCGCTGGGGTTGGGAGGAAGATGGAGAGGATCAAGTGATGAGGAAGGGGGAGGAGGGAGAGTAGTGAGTGGCAGGGTCTGTGGGGGGACGACGACGACGATAGGGTGGAGGCAGGACCTCAGGGGGAAGAGCTTCCGGCATGCCTGCTGTAGTGTCCCATGGGGTCCCACAAATATATTTGAGGCCGGGCCCCCAAAAGGTTAATCTAGCCCTGTAAGTAGCTCCCCCTTCATACTGAAGCAAAGCAGCTCTTACAAAATGAAATGCTAACTTGACTCTTTAAATTCAGAGTAGAAGTGGAGGATTTCTAGAGTGATCAGCAGCTGAACTCTTCTCTCAATGGGGGGTAGATGAATGTCTGTACATACACCACATTTATCAAAAAAACTTGGAAATAGTGTTACATCGAGACAAATAGACAAGCAGAGAAATGCCATCAAGTTGAATGGGACCTAGCTTTGCCCAGGCAATTAGTAGTTGTTTCTAGCATGGCTAAGTTTAGAAAATTTCTGCTGCACGGGGTATTGGAGAGAGGGGTCAGGAAGCTTTTCTTGATCTGGAAAGGGGCACCGGTGTGATATATTTGGGAAACCTTGATTTATATGAACTACAGCTCCATCCTAATGCAGCAGCATTCCCTTCAGCATTCCCATTGACAGCCCTTTGTTCCCCAGGGCAGGAATTTTCAACGCACACAAAGAGTGAAAGGAGTATGTCCCATTTACTTTCACTGGGCCTGGTGTGCCTAAATTCCCTAGGCACTTTAGAAAATCCTACCCCCATGCAGTCCCAGCAGTAGCTCAGTCACATTTCCCTCTGCCTTGCCTCATTTATTGCCCACGCACTGCTGCTCCCTGCCGCTCTCACTTCTGTTTTCTAGGCTGGAAATACTGCTTCGTTTTACACCAGTGGGAGTCAGACTCATGGTCTTTCTCCTGGGTGCTGAAAATGGAGGACTACCGGCTATTCACAAGCTATCTCCCAGTTAAATCATTTGGGGGTAGCCATAATCACTGAGGCAGCAGGTTGAGGGTGACAGGGCTCGCCCCCATTAGGAATGAGCATCTGCTCCGAAGACAGAGCCTAGCAGCGATAGTATGGTACCTTTCCCTTGGCCGTGCAGGGCTGTAAACACGCTGCTCCCTACTCAGTTAAGGGCACAAGGGTGTCCTTCACCTCTGACTGCCAGCGGCTGGGATTGGCTGCCCGGGGTGGCTCACTGGGTGATTGCCTGTTCTGAAGCAGCTGAGCAGTCACGGTCAGACGGGATACCGGGCTAGCTGGACCATTGGTCTAGCCAATCTGGCCATTCTTACGTACAAAATCGTTCCATGCTGGGAAGCCGCTGGCCCCACCCTGCTTGGGTCCCCCTGCCCTCTCCCTCCTATTTTTCCTCTGTGGTTTGGTGCCGCCTGTATCATAAGCTCTGGCAAGCGCAGGCGCCGGGCAGTGGGGGCTGAGCCGAGGGACCGAGGTGCTGGGGGCGGGGTCGGGCTGCGGAGCGAAGGAGGTGGACAGGAGCACGCAGAAAGCGCAGCGCCCTTGCTACGGAGCCAACCGAGTCTCCTCCTCCCGCTCGGCCGCTGCTGTGCGTGTGAGCCGCTCCCCGCTAGCTGCGCGAGGCGGAGTCCGGCAGCGCTTGGCGGTGGAAGGGGCGATCGGCGCCCTGAGCTCCAGGTGGGTGGCGGGGCGCAGCAGCGAGGCTCCCGCGGGGCCGGAGCCAGGGTAGGGGCCAGCCACGCAGCGGCCGCTCCCCTGCGGCACTGGAGCGGGGGAAGCTTCAGGCCAGCCAGGGCTTGGGAACGGCCCCTCGCAGTGGAAAGCCCCACGTTCAAGCCAAGTCGCTGTGGCTGTGAGCAGGGACACGGGCCCGATCCCGCCCGCCTGCCGCCACGCTGCGGTGACGCGCAGGCTGCGGGGGAAACGCGCGGGTGTGAAAGGAGCCCAGCTGTGATCACAGGGGCAGGCAGGAAACACAATCAGCTGCCAAGAGGGTGTTGTTGCTTTTTGTTCACACTAAAACCAAGCGGTTTGGGAATAGTACAGGTCACCGTGCCACCCCAGGCACCAAGTTGTGCCCTCCTCCCTCCAGCCAACCGGCTCTGGCCTGCAGGGGACCAGTGTGTCAGTGCCCACTTATGTGACTTGGCCACGGGGCACTCAGTGCCTTGCCTGATCATCAGCCCTGCTATCCAGACAGGTTCTAGGACAACAGAGTTTGCTCTAGGACAGGGGTCGGCAACCTCTGGCACCTTGCTTGCCAGGGTAAGCACCCTGGCGGGCCGGGCCAGTTTGTTTACCTGCCGCGTCGGCAGGTTCAGCCAATCGTGGCTCCCACTGGCCGTGGTTTGCCGCTCCAGGCCAATGGGGGCGGTGGGAAGCCGCAGCCAGCACATCCCTCGGCCCGTGTCGCTTCCCACCGCTCCCATTGGCCTGGGACAGCGAACCGCTGACGTGGCAGGTAAACAAACTGGCCCGGGCCGCCAGGGTGCTTACCCTGGCGAGTTGTGTGCAGAGGTTGCCAACCCCT